GAACAATTTAGACAATTTAGTCAACACTAGTCAGTGGTGTATTTGATATGGAGATGATATTCCCACAATCCAGGCCTGTAATCTGTTGTGTCAATAAACATCCATCCTCCCCGGGGCTGTGAGTACCCATGTGGGTTCATGTGAGTGATCTGTTTTCATTTCATTACAGAATATTTATTTTCATAGGAACTATTTTCCAAACTATCCCCACCCCATGCTAAGAACAATAAACACTTCTTGTAATATAGCAAGGTTATGATTAGATCATGTGGTTTATTACTTGTAAAACCATTATTATCCAGGTAGGTATAAACCAAACACTGAACAATCTACAGGTAATCTTGGGCTAAAGTTCTACATTGTTGGGGTTAGTTGACTTTCTGTTAAAGAGGACCTTTAGTTAACTTCACAATTCTGCATTTCTTTTGCCATTTGTGTGCCATGTGAGAGAATTCCCTTCCCCTGCCTTTTTAAATGCAGCAGGGAGTGAGAAAAAAAATCTATCCACATGGAGGGTAATTTGCTCACTGGGACAAGTGCCATGTTGGAAGATTCACCCTCCTATGTGTTGTCACCAGGAGTTCTTTTGGATTTCCCTCCATTTCAGTCCCATTAACAATGGTCAGCAGGACAAATGGATAGGAAGAATCTTCTCAGCGGGGGCACTGGCAGGGTTTAAAGGCCAGCAGGGGTTCTGATTCTTCCCTATGCTGTTCAAAACTTTAACTAGAGCATTTTTGCTTTTATAAACCCACTTTTAAGTTGTGGACTCTAAAAACCAAAGTATTGAGCTATTGAGAACAAAACTGGCCTCTGCATGCTTGTTTAGATTAGTGACACCAAATGTATTGAAGCCACTAGATCTGCATGACGGCTAGGCTTCTACCATTGGTCAGCAGTGGCAGCCTTTATATTTGTCTTGGCAAAGTTCTTTTTAAACACCCAGCTGTGGGCATTTTTTTTTTATTGGTCCCCCAACAGAAGTTTAAAATAAAACCGTCCTCTCTGGCCCTGTCCACCCTAGCAATTTATTTCAGAAATCTTTCAGGTAGAATGACTCCCAGTGTCATTCAACTTAGAAGGCTGAGAACATACTGTGAGGCCTGAAACCACCATACACTGCACTAACTGTGTGATGTGGAGATGAGCGCTGACATAATAATTTCCTCGCACCTCGTTGCATCATTAAGGACCACGCATTTCTTGGAGACGATCTGAAGAATAAGAGTCTTCGAGTCATGTGAAAGCAGTATGGTCGTCAGCACACCGGGGTCCTCCATTATCGAGTTGTCCTTTTATTGACATTCAAATGAACCTGGTGTGTACGGGAAATGCCAATGTTTCGTACCCAATATGGTCCCTTCAGGCAAATCTGTGTGACTCCTTGGACACATTGATTTGCCTGATGAAGGGGCCATATTGGGTTCCAAAACGTTGCTATTTGAATGTCCATAAAATGCGGATCAATAATGTGGACCTGGTGTTCTGGTCACTTTATTGCTTCCCCTGTTTTGTGGAGCCATCCGCTGGCCACTTCAGCATCCATCGTTCTTATACAAAATAGTCTCAACAGGTCACCGGTACACACTGGTTATGTGTGCCCCTGACCTGTTGAGACTATTCTGAGTTTTTTTGCACGGTGCCATCCATGTGATCACCATGAGCACCACCATCATTGAAAGGTTGTGCACTGTAAGACATGTGGGTGGTTCTTGGAAACAATCGTTCTTATACAAGGCAAGATGTCGGTTTGGGGTGCAATGGGACATTTCTGCAAATTATCTGGCCTGGGGAAGGAGCATGGAGTTAGGCTTTGGCTCTTGTCCCCACTGTGCACTGTTATCTTGAATAAGTCCTATCCACTTTAATTTGTCTGCCGTGTGCACTTTGTCCTCCCATTCTGATCTCATAGTTCATAGACCGGGATACAATAAATGTCAGTGCTTCTTGGAAGGAGCATACACAGGATAAATGTGTGCTGTTCTCACTGTGCTCTTCTGATTATTAGTCTTTATGGCTACCACTTCCTGAGGCCTAAGTTGCATACTTTTCTAGCTTGACTGTATAGATCTCTGACTCTGTGCTCTATGCACTCTGTGCTCTGGTGATAATAGTGTGGTCAGCAGTGTGCCCTTTGTAGGGACTTTTCCAAAAAAGATTAGAAACCCAAATGTTGGTGTTTTTTCAGAACTGTATTTTGAGTTTAAGTTGATTGATCTTTTCCTACTAACGACCGACATCCTGTCCCAGTAAATATACTCTAATCAAAGGAAAGACCGGAACTTTCTTACTGGTCACTAAGGCTGATAGGCTTATCTGAACAATATGTTGCATGTTAAAAAATAATTTTATACAATGTTTTCATAATGTGCATTGATGCTAACCATATCCTTGTAAATTGATCGTAATGACCTGGCTCTGTACTTTAAACCCTGCCTTCAGTCTAACACAGCCATATTGAACAGCAAGTAGGTGCAATGTATGACAGTAACCTGAAGTAAAATGAACTAAAGGGGCATAGGTTTCATTGCGGACATGCGCTGGTACAAAGTTCAACATCAAGAAAAATGGAAATGCTAATTTAGTATTTTAAGCTCAAGAATGGTAAAACTAGGAAGCTAATTGAGAACCACTGATAACAGTCAAACTTGTTGTTTTTCAGATGTGGTTTCACCAAAGAGAAAACCTCACAGATCTGGTAAGTTGCAATTTTATTTTGCAATGTTGAATACATCATATACAGTGTAGTACACGTGAACTTTTTTTTTTTGCTTGTCTTTACCGAGGGACACCGTAGGCCACTGAGTAAAAAGGTGACATTAGAGCCTCTCCACATTAACCTCTTAGTTTCGCTTGGTGTCCTATGAAAGTAGAATGATTTCTCTCACAGCTCTGCTGATACAATAATCTGCCTCCCATCTTAAGGAGATTGCCCTTCACTTTCTGGATGTAGTGAGAGCAGTCAGAATCTAACTGAACTACACTGCTGCTTTTCACAGGACTGATTCTCTAATGACCATTGCACTGTCACTTCGCCTAGCAATCATTCGGTGTGACTGAAGTTCATATATCTTTGAAATTCAGCAATATGCCTTCTGTAATGGTTTTGGCCATGGCCTCCTTTGACCAAAAGATATTGCAAGCAGCTGAATACCCAGCCAAATATACTGCCACTGAAAATTTCCATTTAGTTGTGAAATTATTATTTTCCTCTTTGGCACTTTTTTTTTTAAGCCTCTCAGTGGTCAGCTTGGGCTCCAGTGAACTACTGGAGCTGAACTTAAAGTGACACTAAACTCAGGAGTTAAATCTTTAAAAATGCATTCAAGTAACCTATTAACAATACTGGACCTTATTTTGGCATCACTCAGCTGTAGATCCTCTAATCATCTCTAAATCGGTTCTGACACTGTCCTTCCTTCTGGTGGATGGTTACTGTTGTTCCCTATGGTCCCTGTGTGTGTTGTAAAGCTCCAAGCTCACTCCTGTGATGAACTACAATCTCAATACAAACTAGTAAACTAAACATGTAGGGCTGCAACAACTAATCGACATAATCAATTATAATCAATGCTTAAAAAAGTTGTCTATTTTTTCAATCATCGATTAATCGGCATCCGATTGGTTGGCCCTGTTCACGGCTCCACACACGCTGCACGCCACACTTCCTCCCCACCTCACGTTCACCGCTGCCAGACTAGCCCGCATCCACACGCCGCACCTTCTCACGCTCACCGCCCGCCCAAATCCACGATCAGCACATGGACGCGGGGAGAAGAAGTAAGGAGGAGCAGGTGTGGGGGGATGACAGTCGCCGATAGACAGGTCCGATCTCAGAAACAAGTTGCTGGAAGACTACTCGGGTAATCCTGCACTTTCCCACACATGGTACTCTATAATGTATTGCTGGGATTTGTATTCCTCTATAGCTGATGGTACATTGTGCTGTATATTATACATAGGAATACAAATCCCAGCAATACATTATACACTGTATGTATAATGTATTGCTGGGATTTGCTGTATCCCCTATATAGCTGGTGGTATTCTGCATTGCGCTGTATAGAGGACTACAAATCAAGGAATAATACATTATACAGCGCAATGCAGAATACCGCCAGCTATAGAGGACTACAAAACCCAGCAATAGTACAGCGCAATGCAGAATACCGCCAGCTATAATGTACTCTTATAAAACAAGAAAAACCTGCGCTTCTGGACCCAAACAAAAAACCGGAATAACCAGAAGCTGCTATAACTTAGGCAGTGAGCCTCAAAGGGATAGTGAATTAATAGTGTAGCGCTAAAGGCTTTGGAGTGTATAAGACCAAATAAATGTGTAAGGTGAAATATATCTCTTATAAATATGTGTCAGTAAATAAATATACTCCAACACATAAAAGTAATTTAACAACTTAGTGAGTGAAAAAAGCTAAGTTGTTAAATTACTCTTATGTGTTGGGATTATATTTACTGAAACATATTTATAAGAGATATATTTCACCTTACACATTTATTTGGTCTTATACACTCCAAAGCCTTTAGCGCTACACTATTCACTATAATGTACTATTGCTGGGTTTTGTAGTCCCCTATAGCTGACACTGGAGCCATTTTTAAAAATGTATTTTATTTTTTAACCGATTTAATCGAACGTAATCGGCTAACCGATTTTGAAAATCGTTAGCTGCAGCTCTATAAACATGAGATTGTAGTCCATCACTGGAGCAGTGGCTACTTTACAACACGCAGGGACCACGGGAACAAAGGAAAGTACAGTGTCCGCACCAATTCAGGAATTATTTGGGGATCCACAGCAAAAATGTATCTTATTTTGTGTAACAGACCCCATTTACACTGAGCTACATAAAAAAAAAAAGCGCTGATTTTGAGCTGAGCGACATTGAGCTAGAGTACACATTTTGTCGCACTACGTAGCGCTTCTTTTGGGAGTCTATCAAAGCCTGTTGGGGCCAAATCGCACAATATCTGCTGGAAAAATGAGGTCATGTTCGAGCGGCGAGTTTGAGCTACAGGTGACATTGAGATGTGGACAGCTCCATTTGAAATGCATTGGACGTGCTACATTGAGCAATTTTTATATATATCGGGATAATACCTGTTGTTGCTTATCCAGGAACCCGGTGTGCTTCTTCTGTCTTGGTCTGACAACACTGCCTCGGCTGCACAGACAACCTTGATAAAGCAAACAGTGTTTTTGTGCCCATAATGTTACAAAGCTAAAGGCAATGTCATTTATACTGGAATGTTTTGTATCCATGTAAGGTCCACTCAAATTGAAAACTGCAGTCTGATAACTGAATAATTCCTGTCTTATCACTATCCTGTATGCTCCTGCTATATCCTGCCAGAATAGGGTTTTCATTGGGCCTCAAGCTTATTTGAAGCAAGAAAAGATCAGTAGATGTTGTGGGGCTTTCCTAGTTCTTGCTGATCTTGTTTTCTCTTGGCACTCAGCCCAACCTGATAGTGGCAGGTGCAGTGTTGTCAGTGAAGAGTTGTGGTTTGTAGGGACCCTGTCTAATGCTGTGTGTGTGTGTGTGTGTGTGTGTGTGTGTATATTTTGAAATATCTTTCTCCCTTTTAAGGGGACAGTCTGAAGATCCTGAATGGAGTATCTCATGTGAAAGTGATAAAAGGGGGTCGGGCAGAGTTACGTTGTGTGATCCAGGGGACTCCCCCTCTGGCTGCTTCCTGGGTGCGCAACAAGAAACCGGTATGTAAAGCTGTGATGGTACCTATAGGTATAAGATGATGGTCTGGAGCACAAAATCCTTCCAGCTGCTTACCAACTTTGGGAACAAGTGATCTAGATGGCTGGAAAACCTAGACCAATGACTTTTGCTATCCCACCTGCAAGCGGGTGCAGACCAGATCTGCTGAGCTTCTTTCTGCAGGGATTGAATATTTCATTGGAGAACTGAGGTGAGTGCTTTCCACTCACCTCATAGTTCTAGCCGACCTGTGACAATGAGACTGTCACAGGTCAGCTCAGTAGATCGGGAGGTGAGCGAACATATACCGGCGTTCGCTCACCTCTCGAGTTGACTTGCCAGAAGTAGGTGTGTGTGTCATGTAAACCCCTGAAATGGGGGGGTTTTTATACAGAAAAGGAGTTCTATGCCTCCTGACAATGCTGGATAATTTTAGGGAATGGTTTAAGTATGTCTCATTGCCATGGCAGCATAAGGAATTTAAGCTTTATGAAATTTGGGACAAAGTTTGCTGCGTTGGTGACCCTATTCCCTCTACAGAAGTATAATAATTAGATTACAAGGAAGGAACATGTTGAAAATTCCTTGGATGAACGGTGCTTGTAACCATTCAGCTGCAAGCACAGTTTGGGTATTCTGGCAGCGGTCGGTACAAAGCTCACAGTGGAAGATTTTGGTTTTTTATTTTTTTGTTCAGCCCACAAATTGAACAAATATACAGATGAAACTCGAATAATTATAATATCGTGCAAAGTTCATTTATTTCACTAATGCAACTTAAAAGGTGAAACTAATATATGAGATAGACTCTTTACATGCAAAGCAAGATAATTCAAGCCGTGATTTGTCATAATTGTGATGATTATGGCTTACAGCTCATGAAAACCCCAAGAACCCCAAATCCACAACCTCAAAAAAGTAGATTATTACATGCAATCAATAAAACAAGGATTGTACATAGAACAATATCGGACCTCTGAAAAGTGCAAGCATGCATATGTACTCAGTACTTGGTTTGGGCCCCTTTTGCAGCACTTACTGCAATTACTTTTGCATGATATTCTAATTATTCGAGTTTCACCTGTATATCCCAAGTGTGTAACCGTACTATACTCTCCCCAGCCTAACCTCCTAGCTATGTCATGGTAATGTGTAAGCAGTATAGAGATTCATGGGGCAGAGTGGCTCTCAATTGCAACACTCACTAAAGAGACTTCTACCGTTCTCACGTACAAGCCAAGTTAATGTTTCTGCCTTCCCTACCCTCCTTTTACAATATGTACAGTAAATGTAAATGACAGTACTGATTTCAGACACTGCTGTACATAATGTACTGTATTATGTGCTATAAAATGTTTTCAGACTTGCCCAAGTGTGAAGGTTGCTGTGAGGGAAATCTTCCTCCTTTCTGCAGACACATCTAGGGGTGTTTGAAGCTTGCCTAATCTAACATCTGGTTATATTAGGCAAACATTAAGCACTCTCAGGTATTTTTTTTCAGAATCTCACTGCATATTTGTTACTCTGCAGGTTGTTGATGGTTCTCGACTATCCATACATACGACGGACCAAGAGAGCTGCTTACTGATTCGAGAAGCGTGTGAGAAGGACCAAGGAAATTACACTCTTTGCGTGCAAGATCAAACTGGCAGTACACAGCATCACACCACATTGACTGTTGTCGGTAAGTCTGCTGCCCACTTGTATGCTGGCTGTAAATCTGTTTTTATAATATGGCCCATAAGTGTGGGCAAAGCTGGGCATGGGGCCTGGTCAACTTGGACCCCCTGCACTTAATTCCAGCACAGTAAATCTCTCTGCTTAGAACTTTAGACCGCACAACTGATGACTTTTTAGAAATCTTTACTTTTATGTAGCCTCCAGCTTTTTTGTAAGTTTATGTGCCCGCTGACTTACCTCCTTTTTTTAAATTATTTTGTTTTTTTGAGTGATTTTTTCCAGCCATACACCTTTTTAGATTCTCCCTGTTAAGCCCACGAGCTGAACAGGATTCCCTCTTTTTCCCCCGTCACACTGAACAGGTGGAGGAATCTCCCATGTTAACTATTGTATTTAGACAGATGACATTGGCAACTGCCGGATAGGACCTGTTGAACTGAGAATTTTCTACCCAATTTTTCAGTCGGCTTTTGTCAAGCCAGGTGGTGCCAACAGGGCCACTTGCACCTTAAATTTTGCTCAATTCAGCGTGAATCGGGTGACTTTTGATCCCTGTAAGGTATGCATTAAACTGAGAAGCCCTCTGAGGTCGGACAGTTGCTTTTCTATCATCTGACATGCTGCAGAATCAGATCCAGCCATGTAGCTGTTTAACATTCATCTTAACTCTAGGGTTATTCAAAACTGATTCACACTGAGTAGCTGGGAAACTTGTATTATCAGTACGAGTTCAGGAGGGTGACCACAGAGCAGCAGCTGTCTGTCCTGGGGGCCTCTTTCCTCAGAGGCAACTTTCCAAAATCTAAATAGGATGAATATTAATAATGAAGACCGTATATTCAATTGTGATTTTGTGTGTTGTGTGTTTTTTTTTGTTTTTTTGTGTTAGTCCTAAAACTCCAACACCACAAACCCCCCACGCCGCCCCCTGGCATTAAACAAAGCTTGTACTAATAAGCCAACCCTAAGTAAGGGGTGTCCCGCTGCCTCCTGCAATGTCTTTCATGGTAGCGAGGCCACCCATGAATTGTTGGAGGTGAGGGGGCAAGCCATAAACTTTCTTGAGGAAAAGTTGATATTCACGTATTTGTGCCCCCTCCAAATCTTAAAGCTTTCTGGGGATTTATGATGATGGTGATCTGTGCTCATACCTGATGGTTCCTGCATTGCATTCAGGCTGATATTTCACTAACTGTTTTGAAATGAAAGGTTTACTTTATGGGTAAGGCATCCAAGATCTCAAAGTTGTCAGCCCAGTATTCTGTATGTTTGTGTTTATTTTTCAGTTGCATGGATTACCATGAATAAGTTTAGACCACGCTGACACTGCCATTATTTGTTTACTGGTCTGTTGTAACAAGAAGCACAGAAATTAAAGCCAATATAATCTAATGCAGGGCGTGGAGTTTTCTACCTTTTTTATGTACCACCAATCATTGCATCTGGCTGACTTACAGAAGGCGGTGTTCAAGTATCTCATGACCAGCCAGTGTTTTGATAAGGAAACTGCTATGGACCCATATAATTCAACACCTCCTTTATGACCCAGGTGGTTGAAATCTTTGTACTGTACATATTATGTAAATAGTTTGTTTGGTGTATGGTTAACTCGAGTCACTTCATCCCTAAATCCTTTCAAGTTGAACTCCAGGCAAGCAAGTAACATAAATACATAAATGGAAGCTGTCTTGTCTGCCAAAAGTTATAGTTTTTATCTGCCTGTCCTGACACCCATGCCATACAGCACAGTCAAGTCCCCGACCTCCAGTGCAGCCCATTTGACCTCCAGTGCATTCCATTTGTAGCCTGTTGATTGGACAGTGAAGGCCAGCAGAACATCGATTAGATTATTGGGGCTCTCTGCTGCTGTAAGCATGTTCAGTAGTAGGCTGACCGCTCTGCTAAGAAACCGGCATTGCAGAAGGTATGATCTGTGCCAAAATTGTATACACCCAGAATAGGGTATTAAAAGCTGCAATACAAGTGCCATGGTTTTTAACACTTTCAGGTAAACTGATTACCAAAGAAATGGAGGGGCTAGCATTAATGACCTCCTTCCAAAAATATTGGACAACAGTGGGTCAGTGTGAACTACTGGACAACAGAGGGTCATTGTCATCTACTGGGCAACTAAGTCACTGACCTGGATCAAAGGGGCAAATCGGCATAGTTGGAGGAAGGTCCGAGGTCTTTATCTGCTTACTTATTGCCCCTGGAAGACTCAAAGTATTAAAGCCACAATGTCTGAATGTTAGCCAGGCAACTAGCATTCTCAACTTTTTTTGGGGAAGTAAATGTTGGCAAATTCCATGCTTCCCTCACAGTTCCTTAAACATGTTAAGAGTTGTCCATGTTGCTACCTCCATCTGATGTGGATGCTTCCTATTGGCTCTCCATCAATGTGGTTCTCTTGGGATACAGAAGAGGGTGACACTGGCAAAAGGGGACAATGTAGGCACTTCTGCCGCACTAAATAACTTGTTATTGGCAGAAACCTATGAAACGAGGGACATGGACAGTGGACTTGGGTAAGTATAAGATGTTACAGATGGTTACAAAAAGTGCTGGGAGAGTGGTATGGAACCTAATGCTTGCCTAAAAATGGGTTTAACTATATACTGTGTGAATGATACTGGTGTAGAAGAATTGGTGTTATTTACCAGACTTTTCTCTTATTAATTCTGTGTAGGTTGTAGGTCAGGGTTTTATTTTCCTAATTAAAAAGGGGGGAAAAAACTGTGTTCCCAGGTTTGCTCAGCAGTTAGCATTTTCCACATTCTTGAAGATAAAATCTGCTATCCTCTCTTTTCAGATCATCCATCACCTCCTTCAGGAAAGCCCCTCATCTCAGCCCTGGTGCCCTCATCGCTCACCCTCTCCTGGTCAGGGCCGTGTTATGATGGCGGCAGCGCTGTTCTAAACTACAAGGTTGAAGTAAAACAAGGTGGACAGGATAGTTGGAGGCTGCTAACAGATACCTGCATCAACACATCATATCATGTGAGTTCGGGACTGGTGCCGGGTGAAAGTTATCAGTTCCGCGTGCAAGCCTGTAACACCTACGGAGAGAGCGAACCTGGAGAGGAGTCTGAAGTTGTTACCATGTCATCCATTGCAGGTGAGAAAACCAGTTTTTCTGGGTGCTTTAAGAACTTGGCCAAGCACTATTTGAGTCTAAACTGCCCACTTATCATGAACCCAGCATCCTATCAAAATAATAATCATCTGTATTGCCAAAAATAAATAAAATCCTTCACTGCTAACTAGGCCTGAACCAAGGGAGTAAAAAGCTTCTCCCATGATGCCTTAGGAGTGTTCTATTTTGTGAGTTGTTCAGTCTGTCAGATTCATGAACTGAAGAGGAGGGGCATGACATGTTTCACTTGGTCCAGTCCTGGTTTGCCTGTTAGCTGATCGGTCAATAGATATATAGTATTTTTATATTTGGTGATTTAAAAACAGCAGCTTTCAGTGTGGGAGGTTTTGACACCCAAAATAATTTAATATAGAAACCCCAGATGAGAAAATTAACCTATGGTCCATCAAGTCTTTCCATTATCAATCATTTTTTATTTAATTTTTTTTTTTTTTTTAAAAACCTTTCTCAGAGTATAGATCTACCCCCAAGTTAAAATGGCTCTTGCCAAATGTTACTGACGTGTAACCAAACCAATTCCTATTCATGAATGTGATCATAAAGCTGGCCAGGCACATTACAATATGGTTGTCCAATCTCTGCACAATCCCTATTCGATAACAAAAACTATGTAGTGCAAAGGACTACCCAAACAATCCAATCTTCCTTTTAAGATATATGTATAATATATCTTTATATCCAGTCAAGTTGACCCTTGCACTATGAAGTTTGTTCGTATGCCCCAATGTCATAATATACCCTGCCAGTTATAGTAAACTCTGGGCAAACAATATAGAAGGAAGGAGCTGTCTGTATGGACTTTATAATTTAGGAGTTGATGCATTTTTATATTAAGATAATTTGACTGCTCTGATTTACACGCAGCAGATGATGAGGCAGAGTGTGAGGACACAGTGGAATACACAGCGGTCTCCATTAACAGCACAGACCGTGTGGATGCACTGTACACCAGACTGGAGAAGCTCGGAGTGTAAGTATTGGGCTGCGGAATACAAGGATAACTTTTTCACTGTTAGTTTGTGATGCTGTAATAAACCATTTGACACAAATGTCCACATTCATTTGCCAAATCCTTACTCTGCTCACTCCTTAACACATAAGGAAAAAATAGCCAAAATTCTTATTTACGTACACAACTTTTTACCTTTTGTACTTCTTGCCAGAAAAATAAAAGAGACCATGTCAATGAATTATAGTCACACACCTCGATCTGTGTGTGGTGTTTTTTTTTTTGTTTTTTTTAATATAATGACCCATATTGCTCAATTGCCGTCAGAGTAAGCAAAACATAACACTTCATCAATAAACACCTCCTTGAAAGCTAGTGAACAACTCCATCTTGTGGCCATTATTGCTGGTGAAATTTCCTCTCTTGAATACATTTTGTGGTTGGTAGATGTTCTGCTTTAACATGCTGTGAATTTAATCCCAGACTAATTATTATGCTTTGCTCCTTCATTATGGTCGTATAACATTTATACATTCAGTCTGCCAATCCAGTGTGTTTGGTTTTTTGGGGGTTTTTCCCCCAGAAAATCATAAAGCTTTTAGCCAAAGTACAGCTAAATGCTCCTGTGTGACCATCTGCACAGATCCTAAATCCAGTTAATGTTATGCACAAACCTCATAAAGGGGAAAGAACGTTCTTTTACTTCCCCTGAGTAGACATGTGCACCAGCAAAAAATTTTTTTGATTCTGATTTTGCATTATTTAATTTTTCGGGACTTGGGTCTGAAAGTCAATTTAGTTTTGGAATTCGGACGAAATTTGTTAGCGGTAGCCTGTACAGAATTTCGTTTCATGTTCGTTCGTTGCAGGAAGTGACATTTAAGAAGGAAATAACGTTTTGTTTTTTTTCCCAAATGTCGCTTTGCTGCAACGAAATTTCGTCCAACAAACACAATTTCGTACAGACTACCGCTAATGAATTTCAGAATCGGAAATTCGGATTAGTTTGCATTCGTTATCTGTAATTCGGATATATCCGAATTTCCGAAATTTCGTCAATTTTGATTCGGAACGAAAGGAATCGCACATGTCTACCCCTGAGTGAGCCAAATAATCCTTCACTTGTGACTCCCACGGTCCCCCTCCAGAACACTGCAGCTCACCGTGGGAGGGTTTCAGCGATGGAGGTAGTGCAGTCAATGCAGAAAGCAGTGGGCAGGACTAACCGTGGCCAGGTGCTGATTGACCAGCTACAGGCTCATAAATTTACGATGCTGGTAGCAATGCCCCCTGTAATGTCATCTCATCCCACTGTAGTTCAGACAGACACAGCCTGCATGAAGGTCAACACTTTTCTGAATTTAGGAGCAGTGCAGCCATGTTATCAGTTTTATATGCCTTGATATACAAATAAATACAAATATATTTGTGTTTTATACAACACATTAGTTCTATTTTAATTCAGGAGTGAAAAGCAATCTAAAACTTAAGTGGTATGACGTGAGCTATCTTCTCGTCTCTTTGAAGACCATTTCTGTTCTACATATGAGACCTGACTAATTTTGTATCAATCTTCCAGGGGAAAGTTTGGTCAGGTGTTCAAGCTTCAGGAGAAGGCCACTGGAAAGATCCGGGCCGGAAAGTTCTCAAAGGCACGGATGCAGAAGGACTTGGCCAACGCTCGAGCGGAGGTGGAGTTGATGAATAAGCTCCATCATCCCCAACTAGTATATCTTGTGGCTGCTTTCCATGAACCAGGCTGGATGATCCTGGTGATGGAATAGTGAGCACTTTCTATTACATACTCGCACTTTACAAGACTAACTTTTTAAAAAACGTTTTGGTCCTATAGATATCTTGTTATCTCTTTACCATCTTGGCTTACTACTGTATCCCTTCTTGGCTTTCTTTTTTGTGTATTCAGATTCTCCAGTTTTCATCGATCGTTGTCCTCAATTGATACTGTCCACTCCTATTTTTTTTTTGTCCTTTTGATTCCTCACCATCCACCTATATTTTTTTTCCTTCTTCACCGGTCTTCATATACAGTGTACTCCTTTTTTCATCACTTTTGGTTCCTCACTGCTGTCAATGTGTTGGCTGTGCTGTCTTCCTGTTCTTCACAGATGTTTTTGTCCATCTTCATTCTTGGATAATACTGTTCACCCTGTTTTGTTCATTTTGGTTTCTCACTGTTCACCTGTCTTTCTCCCTCTCCTTCATGGGTCATTATCTGCTCTTCCATCCTTCTCAGTGTTATCACATGATATTGCTTCTATCACCTTGTGCTCCTTCATTGAACATGTCTGTCTTTCTGCCCCTTTCTTACTTTCTATCAATCCTCTTTGATTGTTGTTAATACTTGTATCTGGTTCCGTCTAATAGTCCGTCCGTCCCCCCCCACCTTCCAGCATTGCAGGAGGAGAGCTATTTGAGCGTATCGTGGCAGATGATTTTGACCACACTGAGATCACCAGTGTTCAGTACATGTCCCAGATTATTACAGGAGTTGGTCATATGCACAAACAGGGCATTGTCCACCTGGACCTCAAACCTGAAAACATTGTCTGTGTCAGCAAAGTCAGCACGAAGGTGAAAATTGTTGACTTTGGCCTGGCCAAGAAACTTGGTGAGTTGAAGACGTTAAGGGAATGATGGTATATTTTCAGTGCTTGGGTATATCCAGCAATAAGTAAGCCATAATCAGATGACTGCTCGTGTGGGTGTGTGTGTGTATAGAAATGCAAATGATATACCTACAAGCAAGGTGTTAACAAGAAAACATGTTGAGATTATATACATAAGGCAGTTTTAAATATGCATTGAGAAGATTATACGCTACTTTAAAATCTCGCAAAGAGGGGACATGCATAGTAGCTGGGTTATGAAAAATTACGCAAAGAACATTGGAGGTGTTACTCTACCTTTTACCAACTTGAATTGATCTAGCATTGTGGAGGATTCCCAAACCCCCTAATAAAGAGCAGGAACCTGATGAAGCCAAGCATTACTCCTGTCTCTGGAACCTTCCTATTGGTTGCTGGGGCTATCACTTAAGTTTTAAAAAGTAGAATTGAGCATTGGAAGGGGTTAAATCAAGCTGGAATTTTGCAGAAAGTCAAGATTTACATCTAACTTCAGTTCCCTGAATCTAGTGAAAGCTTTGGTGTGCAATTTTCACTGAAAGTATCCTGGTTATGCATTTTTCATGATATGCTCCGTTTTGCATTGCTTCGGTCTCTGACAGATTTTAGTCGACTGTAGAGTCGAGGTATTTGTAGATCGAGAAAATTTTTTACCAGCAGTTATGCATGATGAAATTTTTGAACGGTCAACTAATTTCACATATATAGATTTAACCTATGAAGTAATATACATGATTCTGGCATAACAATGCAGCAGTGGAAGATGTTATGGGAATTGTTAATGCGATAGGTCACAGTGTAATTTTTAATGGAGCGCCACCTAGAAGAGGATGACTGCAGAAATGGATAAAATAAGTGGGTAGGACATTCCTTATTTATTCTTTGGTTTCCACTCTTAGAACCTGGCGTGCCATTGAAAGTGCTACACGGGACGGCCGAGTTTGTAGCTCCTGAGGTTATTGCATATGAACCTGTGGGGTTCACAACAGACATGTGGAGCCTAGGAGTAATCTGCTATATTCTGTAAGTGTAAGGCCAAAATGCCTGACCTCAATTATGCATGTTCACTTTAGTCTATCCATCATTTCTTTGCCATTTTGCACTGACCCTTATCTAATCTTATATGCAGTCAGGACTATCTGAGGTCTGGATGGTTACTGGAAAAATCATAGTTGTTCTGAGCCTATATTTCTGGCGCTGCTGGGATGAAGGACTGCCACTCTGACATTGATGGGTTCTAGTCATATACCTCCCCTCCTCTCCCCTTTTCAATTCACAAAAGATGTCTTGTATTCTGTGAATAATATGCAAAGCTTTTGTGAATGGATGAGTGGCCAGATATACGAGTGAAGCCCATCGCTGTCACAGCAACAGACATTGAAGGGCTCCAGTCTCTCCCCTTGTCTAATCACGGGATGCCTTGCATTCTGTGAAAATGAGGGCCAGGTATACTGTTGGAGCCCTTTGCAGCTACAGCAATCCCCCCCTCCTCAACCTGAATTATATTGCTGTTTGTAGGATCCAACATCTGAGCAGCTATGATGTTTGAAGTAACCAACAGGCATGCGGACCTAGACTAGTCTTAATTAGAGGTAACCTTTTAATTTGTGGTGGTTTACAAAAAAATTTTTTTGCTGGAGTTCAGCCTTTAAATAAAACACCACCAATTAATCCAGCCAGTAATTTTGTTTAATGATTAAAGTGTATCCCTAATCCAAACGTGATTTGGAATTATTTGAACCCCTGGTTTTAATTTAATTATTTTTAACGGGATCTGTGTACCATTGGACTGTCCCAGAAAAACAGGAAGTGTGAGGAAATATCTCTGAAGTAAGGGGACATTCCCTCTTGGACAGTTGTTAATGCTTGTGTCCTAACTTTCTGAAATCCACATTTGGAATTTATACAAGTAACCCATGCAGTAATCTTCGGATGCTAAGATTAGTGTATCTAAATCCAAAGGGGTGGGGTTTAGAATTCCTGTTGTTTTTATTACTGTTCTTTGTTCACACTGTCATAATGACCACTATCACAAGAATAGAAAGTGACTGAAATACCCCAAATTTTAAAGTTGTCACCAGAGCAAGAATAGAGTAGGAGACACTTGTTCCAGTTGTCATTTTGGCGAGATTTCCCCTCCCTTCCTACAGGACAGGAAATAAAGGCAAATTCGCCTAATGGGACACATAACATTGACAGGTGTTTTGACCATTCCCTGCTGTATCCATAACTAAATGGAAAATGTTCTGGCTTTAGATATACTGTAACCCATGTTTGCAGAGGCTCCTAAATCCAGTTTGAGTTGGACCTTTTTGATGTAAGAATCGAGTAGGATAGATATGTGGGTTGTATATGCTTTTAAACATCAAACCAACATTTTCCTTTTTTTTTTCCCCCTCCTCTCCAGGCTCTGTGGAGAGTCCCCCTTCCAAGGGGAAAATGATATGGAGACGCTGAGAAATATCACATCTGGGAGCTGGGATTTTGATGACGAGACAGACGCTATCCTGTCTGACTCTGCCAAAGATTTCATTAGAAGGCTGCTGCAAAAGAACATGAGGTGAGCTTGTGGGAAGCTATATTAGGAAGATGGTATTCCTACCCTTTCCACTAGCGATCGCTGCTAAAAGGACCTACAAGGCAGTTGGATGTGCATACTGGAACTGGCCAAGCAGCATTTTTAATGGTTACAAAATGCAAGGAAATGTACATAGTGTGTACAGGCCCTTAGGTTTGGAAAATGTCTCGACTTTGGGTGTGCAGAGCTTGGCCTTCAACTCCATTTTTTTTTTTTTTCTTCCCATCTTACGGGAAGAAGTCTATTTTTCCATTACAAAATTGCATGGGGTTTTCCATGTACCTCATCCTTGGTCTGGCTGATTTTGTGGGATCAAACCTTGAATCCCTAGAGGGGTTGTCTCTGACCTAAGCCATATTTGGGGATCTCCCCCGATTTATTCCTGTCTTGATGAGATGAATGTCTGCTCTGATAGTCAGTCATTTTAGACATGGAGTACAGAAATCCTTCTCTTCTCCCCTCCTCTATTCTCTGTTCATTTACAATATAGCTCCATCATTTAAAGCTGAAAACACACTGGTTCAGAGACAAGTGCAGTTTAGGCCACTGTGTGAACAATGACCTGTCATGTAAACTTGCATCGTAGCTGTCACTGCAATACCTCTGTTTTGGCCAGAAGTGTGTCGAGCAGTAGAGCTAGGAAAGGGAAAAGACTTCAGAATACCACTACATTTTAACACTGGTGCTTTTTTCTGCCTAGATCTCGTCTGACTGCAGAGCAGGCTATGGATCACCCATGGATCAAGGACAAAAACATTTCTAGCACCAAGACCCTACCCAAGGAGCGTATAAGAAAATTCCTGGCAAGGCAGAAGTGGCAGGTATGACCGCCATAAACCACTTCCACCCCATTCCTTTATGGTTCTATTTCATTACAGTTTAAGAAGGGGAATTCCAATGAAAACCTCCTTTTTTTTAAAGAGGACCTACCCCTTTTGGGGAATTTTGTTTACAGGAGAACTATGGGGTCAGGGCTTTTCCCCATAGTTCTCCTTAGGGTAACGGGAGGACACAAACTAGCGTCCTCCCGTTACCCTAAGCTGTGACAGCTTAGGGTAACGGCTGTGAGTGACAGCTGGCTCTGCCTATCCAGGGGCAGAGCCAGCTGTACCCGCCCTCTCCCCGTCCGTTCCGCCAGTCAGCGCTGGCGGATCGGAGAGGGGAATCCAGCCCCTCCCCTGTCACGACAGAGAGCCGTGACAGGATCGAGAGGTGAGCGAACGCCAGTATCTGTTCGCTCACCTCCCGATCTACTGAGCCGACCTGTGACAGTCTCATTGTCACAGGTCGGCTAGAACTATGAGGTGAGTGGAAATCACTCATCTCATAGTTCTCCTTTTAAAGCCCAACTGAACTTTGTCTGAAACTGCCAAACATGTTCAAGATGCATTGAAACAAATGGTTTGCAAAGTCTTACATTTCAGCTTGTCTAGAAAGCAGCCACCGCCTGTGTAGAAAGCTTGTCGCCATGCTGCAGAGATGGACCCCTTGCTCTTTGTGGAAACAGTAGGCTCTCTAAAAAGGTCCAAATGCCCCCTGCAGATTCATATCCATAGCTCTGCAAACAGTAAGCTCATGTTGCCTGATGTTTGGAGTGAACTAGCGAGTATTTTGGACCTGTGTAGGGAGACCACTGTTTCTACACAGAGCAGAGGTCCTTCTCTTCATAATGGGATGCACAGACATTTGGCAAATGCTAACTTCAAGCTTGGGTGAATTGATGCCCTTATTTCTGTCAATTGTTCAAAGAAAGGCAATCAGCAAATGTTAAAAATGTCACTTTGCCCATTAAGTGACAAGGTAGCACAGTCTAATCTCCATATTGGACTTTACACAAGGTTAATGACTTTCCTTTTCACAAGTAAGAGTGTTTGAGCCCAGTGAATGTCTGCTCAGACCTGGGCGCTGTATCCTAGATGGGAGGGGGAAGGCATTCTGCTGCATATAAAAAAAACACAAATATCAAGTATTCCATGGCATTCCCACAGACAAATAGAGCAGTGGGAGGGAATCACAGCAAAGTATTGGTGAACTGAATGGACATAGTGACATGTTCTCTAAATCAGAAGTACCAGGTGCACAACGCTCAAATGTATGAGCCGTGGTGCTGCAAAAGAAGCAGTCTGTAGTCAGGGTAAACACTGCTGCTTAATGACTGAATCTGATCTCTCCTGCAGAAAACTGGTAAAGCAGTCCTGGCTCTGAAGAGGATGGCGTTGCTCAGTAACAAGTCCGATAACAACTCGCCTGCCATAGAGGGTGCGGTATTCATCTCTGTCAACCCCTTCCTGCCATAATACCAACTGTGTGATATGAGTCACTGCAGTATTGTCACTTGAGACACCCACTCTAATCTGTCATTTCAGCGTCTCACGGCTCATAATCGCTGCAGGACACAATCATGGGGTCTTGTGAATCAAGTGTTAATACTAAGAACCTCTGTCATTTCCCTACATCCACCAGTCATAGTCAAACCTTAACACTACAGATGTCATTAACAAGGTTAAGTTAAATATAATTGGTGCCCGTGGTAGGTGCGGAAGGACAGCTGCTATTCACACTTTGTTATATGAGGCTAATTAACTGCAACACCAACATTATACGCATATCATTTAAATTTCTCATGTACACATTTCCTGCATATTTTTTTTTATGTTGATTTTTAGATATTTAAATGTGGGCATATATTTTGTTTTCCTGTTGGCAGGGTGACTCAATGTGTATGCAGTCATCCATACGTAGGTTTAAAGAATACCCATCAGCCTTTTTAACGCATTAATCTTTAAATTCATGCACAGGATGTTGTCGGAGTTCATTGTATCATTAGGGATTGCTTCCACCACTTATCTTGGGTATAATTCTTGCCCCCTTTCAAGCCTAGTCATGCACTTTCACCCTATTGAATAAGAGTGCTTTTGTTGCCTGCTGAGGTGTACTCATTGGGCAGTGCGTGGTTGGAGATTGGTTCCCAGGCGGCAGGACCTATCTGCAAATCAAAAGTTGAGCTCGTAGTAACAGAGCACACCCAGGGCTACTTCGGTGTATAGAAGAGGTCGTTCCAACTTAAAAAGGTTCGCCGCAGTCACCTTGTGATATTGGGCTTTAAAACCTTTAGAATGCTGATAAGTTTTTCCTTTTTATCATTAACCCAGCGTTCAATTTAAACATTATGAATTGTGAAAAGAAGAACATGGTTCCAGATTGCGTTCAATATCTGTAGTGGAACTGAAACTAAAATAAACCACAGCCCCTGTCTTTTTTTCCATACATCATTTGTTCATGTGTTGAGGGATCACATTTCTGGCTATTGTATTGTTTAAACATATCCTGGTCATAATGCAATAACTACAGTGTAGAACAAACCAGATGCAAGAATTTCTTTGAACTGGGATCTTCGGTGATTTAATTCTTGTTTTTTCTATAACCTTGCACATCTTCTGTCTTTTTCCATATAAATTTTTATTGAAATTGTAAATATACTAGTATACTTTACAGTGTCAATAGAAAAATCCAGAAGTTAAAACTGGTACACAAAAGAACAAAAAACAGATATCACCTTCAATAGGTAAATGTAACAATGGGGCTTCTGCCTTATTTTAGAGCATGGTGAAAGTGAGGAGGTGTTCAGTTTCCTGCAGGAGCAGCTCCAGAAGCCTCCTGTCTTCTCTTCACAGCTGAAGGATCAAGCCGAGGTTGTGGGCAGCTCTGCTCGATTCCATTGTCACATCGAAGGTAAGAAGCTGCGCAGGATTATCACATTTTACCTACCCACAAATCTTTGCCATGCTTTCAGTTACACTTTAAATGGACTATCCAAGTTTTTGACTAAACCCATGTTTAACATGTCCTTCTGAGCTATGAGGCCTACGGTGTTGTCTGAGGACTAGTTCTTTCCTGCTATCTCCATGATTACATATCAGGGGTGTTTTTTTTTTGTCAATTTTAAATCCCCAAAGATGACAGAGGCAGCAAAGGCTTTCACTGTAGTCAACAAATTGTGAAATCTTTTCTTGGAACAGCACACTAGAAGCTGATTGGTTGATGCAGTTCTGCTTTCAGACACTTTTTTTTAAAAAAGGTGAGACCTAGAGGATTCAAAGAAGGTTGCTTTATTAATGAAGAAATTGGAAGTTTTTCTGTGTTATGGTGAATTTGTCAAACTCTCTTGGGGGTGAAGGGATTCTCTTGAATATGAATTATACAAAAGGGAATGGTTTTTGTTTTTGTTATGATCTTGTCTTGTCTGTCCTTTTCCATCCCTTGGCTAGCGGTGGGATAGGTCAGAACTGATGCTCCTTATAATTTTCTCTCAGACACCAACAATAAATTAGTGAGTTTTTTTCCTATTAATCAGTTTGGAAAAGAGCTGCTACTTTGTTGGAAATTGGTGGCTTGTCTACACTGAAACAGATCCTAACAATATTTTTATACACAAAAGACCTAGGATCTCCCATTATTACCGCCTAATATTGTAAATGATTGTCTCATTTTAAATAAGTTGAATCACTTCAGAGGCTGCTCTCATGCAACAAAGAACCCCCAAGCAAAGTGGGAGGTTGCAAGAGAAACTTGGTGGATAGCAGTAGGGGTGCTAGTCCATAAATACTACTTTTTTTAAAAAAAAATTCAGGGGCTCTTACACTTCCCTTTTAATCAGGGCGCAAGAATTAAATATTTTCCAAGTCTACTTTAACATCTCCTACATGGTTATTGGGCTTCTAGTAATATCACCACACTGCATAAAGAATAACTTGGGCACCTAGTGACAAGGGTTTTTCCATATTTCTCCGGAGTTCTTCAAAGTCTTTCTTCTTTTGCTAGGTTTCCCGGACCCTGAAGTGCTGTGGATTTTCTCTGGCAAGCCTATCCAGGAGTCTAAGAGGTTTCAGATTGAGTATGAGGATTCTGGTAGCTGTACACTGGTTATATTGAACGTGTCTCTGAGTGATGCTGGGTTATACACTTGCCAGGCTTCAAATGCCCATGGAAACGCTGAGACCTCATCCAAACTAATTGTCCACCAATTACGTGCACAGCGACACTCAAGTGTGGGGGCTGAGAAGACCGCCTGACTGCTACAAAGCCAATCCACATTTGTCTGTGTATGAGGGTTCAGGAACTAGGATGATCTATCTGTAAAGTCTTAGTCTGTGTATAAAGTGTTTATTTGTAGATGGCAGATTTGATCTCAGGGCTTTCTTTTATATAGTGCACAGCATCTGAATCGGACTTGTTTTAATAAGGCAGAGTGCAGTGTCGCCATTCAATTGGATTCACTGATTTGACTTCTGGAATTTGAAGTTTACTGGGTTGCAAAGGGGGCATTGTACACCACTATTGGCTTTCCTTTGTCCTATTCAGTATTCCTGATGGTGGCATATCATGGGCTTTTATGTACCAACATGGTGGAAAGAGCAACGACGTGTAAATTGATCCTCCAGCAGGACTTCTATGTATCCTGAGACCTTAAAAGGGAAAATTTCCCACTACTCCGGCAAGAACATAGCAAGTCAGAGCTTTGCTGTTGATCTAAACTACTGTTATTACCTTCAGTCGATGGTTCTTGGACTATATGGAGAGAGGCAAGATGGTGGCACTGGCAGCAAGAGCCAGGCTCTGTCATGTCAGTGGTGCAGAAAGGCCTTTCTATCAGCAGCAGGCATTACCCTCTAAGGTCTTGTTCACGCTACCTAAATGGAGACATTTGAAGCTATGTTGCCCTTTTAATTTAAAGGTGATTTGTAGGGGTAGATGGGGTTGAATTCTAAAGGAAGAATTAGGCTGATCTAAAAAAGGAATGACTTTCGTCAACAGCAACAAATCCAAACTGCAGGGGTGGTTGTCATGCTGTGAGCTGGAACTTGGTTGCTGTCGTTGACAATTACTACTTTTTCTTGATCTGCTAATTGTTCATTGTATAACAGACAGAGCTTCATCATCTTTGCAGTGCTGTGCAACCGGGAAAGCCATTCATATCACAAGACCAGGGAGATAGTTATACACTTCTATAAACTGAATAAAGATTTCCTTGTTCTATCCATATTTGTATCTACTTGGAGCTGATGTAGCAAAAACAGGATTGACACACGGCACTTCTTTCAGGACACATAACAGACGTTGTGCTAAAAATCTTGTCTGTCAAAGGGGCAGTCTGCTAAAATACTAAAAAACCCTACCCTCTATAGAACAGACTGTTGGAGGTTTACATCTATCTCAAGTCAAAACATTTTTCCTCCCTTCCTTTCTTGGGTGACATTGCCACTGGGACAGCATGTGAGGAGGAAACTCCCCACTGATGTCTTGGACAGCAAAGTGGGGGGGGGGAAGGTTTGGCTGCAGTTGCACCTTAATAGACTATTCTAATCCGTTGCTGTTGAGTAATTTAGCCTCTTGTTGGCACTACCTGATTTTCAATGCACTGAAATCAATAGTGAAAATGCAGTAACTGCCAACAACTGGAGCTCCAGAATGTGAGATTAAAATCTATCATGTAGTTGAGTTCTTTGGAGAAGCTACAATGGCAAATTGGAATACTTGATCATTCTGCACTGACATAATGGTGTTAGAAATGGTGGAAGTATGTGGCTTTTGTCAGTAGAGGGCAGCAAAATGACTCTCCATTCCCTTCCTGAACTGCAAACGAGACGCAGACTATAAATGATTGCCAATTTTTCAACAATGCGTTTTTTTCTGCCACTTTTTTGCATACTGGCTGCCGGATTGTAACGATCTGGTAGCTTAAAGTACTACTGAGTTTTTTTAAAGATGTGTTTTTTGTATTGTTGAATATCCATTGTATAAACTATAGAATAAAATTACAGTTTTCACAAATTCCTGGTTTAATGTGTCTATTTTGTTTTCTTTACCCATTTAGTCCTAGCAGGCTACAGAGAGATTGTGTCTTCATAGCTATAATCAGGTGACCAGGCAATCATTGGTTAGAAGTGTTACCATCCATTAAAAACATAAAGCAGAAGTCCACCCTAAAGGTTTTCATCCTGTTTTGAGTGGTGTAGAATAGGGATCAATCTTCATCACGTGCTTAAAGTGAATTTCACGTTTTTTATCTTGGGTAAGGGTTTGACACTCTTAGAGTTTTAGAGTTTTACTGCTGCCTATGTTCTGTTGGAGGGATTACCCTTCTCTTCCTGTCTGTGACTACATAGGAAGTCGGGGTACATCTCCCAGGCATTGTTTTTAGACAGCAGAAAAAAAAGCTGACAGAACTTTACCCATTGGGTGATCCTCCTCCCAAGCTCTGGGTGAAGCTGTGCTTTATGGAATATTGGCACTGATGGCTCCCATGCACAGAGCAATGCCCTATGCCAGGGGTAGGCAACCTCAGCACTCCAAATACAAGTCCCATGAGGCAATGCAAGACTCTCAACAGCACAAGTCATGATTCCCAGAGGCAGATTCATGATATGTGTTTCAGCACAGCTGGGGTGCCAGGGTTGCCTATCCCTACCCTACACCAAAGGCCTACTTCACTGTAATTCTCTTGTAGGTCAAATTGTGCCAAGATCCCCTATACCAAGGGTAGGCAACCTCAGCACTCTAGCTGTAATGAAACTACAATCCCATCATGCCTGTGGCAGTCAGATTTGCAATGTCTCATGGGATTTGTAGTTTCACCACAGCTGGTGTGCTGAGGCTCATCGCCTCTGCTCTACAACTAACACAATCCTTCCTGCATTTGCAAGATATCCAAGTCAGAATATCCTGGTTTCGCTGTTCAAGGCAACTCCAGTCCAACAGCTAACTAAACATTGAAATCTATTTGACCTGTTAAACACATTAGAAGCATAGACTTGGTATTTTGGACTTAGCATGTTAACAGCACATTTCAATGAACATTTTTATTTGTTCTACCCTAAATAAGTTGTGCGTTTTGGTAAAAAAAAAAAGAAAATTCTCATCAGTGTGAGCAGTGCATTCCCAATG